TTTTTTTTTTCTTGCGGAGTTTTGAAGTAGGAAGCTGACCATAGGAACACTGTTGCCTCGGGCAACGCTAAACTCCTCTAGGCTGGTAGACTCCAGATTTTGCTAGGACAGACCACCACTAGCATCGCAGGGGGTAGGCAAGGGGTAGCTAGCTGTAGCTCATCAAAGGTGACAGGTAGGAGGCAATTCCCATTCAGAATTTGTTTCCCGACGCTTCGATGCTCGTTGCGGAAATGAAAGTGCACTATTTTTAGCGTCAGTCGAACGAGAGATAGGGCTCAGCCAGCCATAGCCAGTCAGATCTTTCTGTTCGCTTGACGGTTTCTTGAGCTGCTTGTCGGCGGTTAAGTGAGGGAGGTGGGGAGCTGAGATTCATGCAAGTTTTTTCTTTTCCTGTTCCATTCGAATTCTGTGTGAAGTTTTTTGCGACAAAGTGTGTGATCTCATCTCCACCGACAACGAAGCGCAAAGCGGGCGAGTGTTTTTTTTTTTACTTCTGATGAAAGTTGAAAGCATATGAAATTCTTGACATTCATTACACTGTGCTTAGTGCTACATCTTTGTAGACCAATCTCACGGTCACAATGATATGGTAAAGTTCAATGTCAGTCTCGTCAGATAACATGCGTTGGATTTCAAAACCTAGACAACACACAGGCATAGCACAGTGCGGCCTCAATCCGCGTGAGCCTTAAAACCAGCAGTACATGCCGTACATCGACCGCGGGGGGGGGGGCTTTTGGAGGTCGCCCGCCGCCGATTTATTTTGTCGACGGTGCGGCAGCCTCCTAAATTTTAGGAGAGGCTCAATCAGGTTCTGAACTTGGCTGGGTCATGTACTGGTGCTCTAAGGGGATAATAACCATGTCAGGCCTTAAGGTTACTGCAAGGAGAAAGGTCGCAAGAGAGATGAGATGAAGCTTACCTCCCCTCGTGCTTCTGCCTCTTCGAGCTGCTCTCCAATCTGAAGATCGTATGCAGGTAATCCTTGCATGAACTCATCAGCTGTCTCAACAGACTGCAACACATCCCCACAGTCAGCAGCATGTTTTTTTTTTTGTTAGTACTTAAACCTGAGCAAATGACATCTTCACAAATTGCAACTAACTTGAATGCTGGAGGGGAACTGTCACCCACCCGCACGGATGAGCGGTACACAGTACTACACACATAAGCCTGTCGATAAACAGATCAGTAGTTCAAAATCCAGCAGGTACAATACTGCTAGGGGCATTTTCCCTTAAACCACCGGTACCACCGAGCCTCTCTTTTTCCCGAGGCAAAAACCGGCGTGGCACACTTTTTTTCCTTTTTGGCTGGCACTGCGAGCCAAGAGGTTTGGTAGTCTGAACGCCCAAAAAATTAGGTTGCTGCCTGGTCACATACAAAGTTACAAACACATCCGGAAAAAACAACAAATAACAGGTGAGGAGAGGTACGGGTTTGCTTAGGAGGAGGAAGACGAAGAAGAGGAAAACCACCACAGCGTGTGCACTTTGGTTGCATGGCTGCTCTCTTCTACATCCCTTGATATCTGCTACGTTATACGCCATCATCATCGTTCTACAAATAGCACAACCTTCAAAAGGAGTAGAGCTCCGGGGTTCTCAGGGGGGGACCACCAACTTGCTGTCTGCACCTTGATGTCACCCGGATTCCTTTCCGCGAAGTACTCTGAGGTGCAAGCTATTGCAACATATCATCTTTATGATAGACTTTATCAATGGGGAAGGACGGCTGGCTTGCGAGATGACTGGTCTATTGAGCAAGCCAATAGGGAGTAAGTAGAATGTAATTTTGAGGAGAAATATCATTATGAAATTTCAAAAGCTTCCTCTCAGTCAAACACGAGTCATAGCGACTGCAATGCCAGCAGATTTGAGTAACGGAACTGGCCGCAAACTTTTGAAATTTCTTGTTGCATTCATTTCAAAACAAAATAGTCGTCGTCAATCTCAGTAGAAAAGAAAAAGAACGTAAAACCTAATTTCCCTGTCAAGGTTGGTTGAACAAGACAACTGGGCCTCCTATGCTCCCTATCTAAGTTTTGTTCTGGCCTACCACCAAGCATTTGTGGGCCGATTACCTGCAAAGCAAGGATAAAGAAAAAAGGATGTGCAAAGAAGGGACCTCCCCAAAGAAACAAAACTGGACGGGGGCTCACCTATCGCACACCATAGCTGGAGACGGTCTTCAGGCTGCTCTACCTGCATCACAGCTTAAGACTGCGTCTTTTCGCTGGTCAGGATCTGGTTACAAGACAGGGAGCGAGAGAGGACTTCTTCTTCTTTGTTATTCCTCCTCTTCTTTTTCTTCTTCCCTGATTCTGCCCTCCATATCCATCTCCTGTTGTTGTCGTTGTCGTTGGGGGGGGGGGAGGAGAGAGAGAGAGAGAGAGAG